CATCTACTGCAAAGAGTTGTTGTGAGGGTGAAATAGGATGTGTCCAGCTGCACTTCCTGAGCCACCTGGAGAAAGTGTGGGATAAAGAGAGAGAGGAAGGAAGGAAGGAAGGAAGGAAGGAAGGAAGGAAGGAAGGAAGGAAGGAAGGGCTAATTTATATGGACCCCGGATCTGATCTAACAAGAAAGTCTTTATGTTTATTGGGTTTTGTGGCATTCTGTGCCAGTCATGCTTTTCATGGTCATTCTATTTATTTACTTATGCATTTTAGCCACATAATTTTAGGAAAAGTGATTTAGTCATGTCTATGGGCATAATTAGGCATGACATCAGCACATCCCAAGCCAGGATGTCCAAGCCCTGTCCTGCAGGTGGTTTAAGCAGAGATTTATGGCATAACATTGGGGGGGGGGGGCATATGTGGGGAGGGGGAGTTCCATCCTTTCCCAGTCCTTGCTTCCCCTTTCCTACCTGCTTTGCCCCAGAAATGCTTCACTTTCCCTTTCTGATCATGGAAAAATGGCTGGGGAGAATCAATTATTGGTGGGAAGCAGGAAGAATCTGTGAGCCAGAAGGGTTCATCTCCTCCTGTCCAGTCATGTTATATGTTCAGTCTCCTACCTCCTTGCACCATCATATTATAAGGAATCTGCAGCCCCAGTTCTGACGTGCAAGTTTCCTTCTTAACAAGTACCCTGTCCAATTAAGAGACTCAATGAAGGGAAAGCCACCAAACAAGATGTAACTATTAACTTAGTATGAAGAAAGAATGGAATTGAAACAATGGTGAACAGCAGGTCTGAACAAAATCAATAGCTAGATATGTATCTAGCATCACTGTAAACAGACTGGCACAAAATAAAGGCAACGTCCAACTTCAGACTTTTTTTCCCTGCCGGTTGGCATGCAGGACAACCTTCTTTCATCATGTTTTTAATGTTCCATATACCAGATGGCAATGGTTTTCTGGTTGTTTCAGGGAACTTTCCATATAGGCTGGACGTGCACATGGTGGGCAAGTTGTGAGCAGAGCTGGCTGGTGCCGGAGGTCAGACTAGATGGCCCGGGAGACCCCTTCTGACTTGCTCTGTTTCTATGTTTCTAAGTCCGAGTTCCAATCCAAACATACCTTCACACAGCATATACAGTTCTGTGTAAAGCATGGCATTGCCTAAATCTTTTCTGCAAATTTGTTTTGCATTTTTGAAGCTGACAGGTTGAGAATGGAGCACTGAAATGAAATGAAAATGTTGGTGCTTAGTCCTATTATTTAACCAGTACTGAAATTCTAGCGCCTAATCCTATTATTTAACCAGTCTGTGTGCCACTGGTTCAGTGGGACTGAAATTGCTTGAATGCAAGCAATGCCTCTTCAATGCATTTCTGGATCAGGTTGTTTGGCCTCTTGCTATCACGACATGTGAGTTTATGCCTGCTGGGCAGAAGTGGAGTTTGGCAAACTAGCACTTGAACAAATGATCTTCGGCCCAGTACGATTCATGTCTACTTGTAGGTTTGTCCCACTGAAAGCCACTGCTGCCATGGTACATAAAACACCTTTACTTCCTCAGCAGTGGTGAAGTTTGTTGCCATTCATAAATGTCTCGGTGACCATTAGATATCCAAGGAGGTGCTAAACCTAAAATCTTCTCCAACCTGGTTCTGTTCAGCTGTGTTGGACTCCAACTCTCATCACTCTGAGCCACCTAGTTGTGAATTATGAAAACACATCTGGAGGGCACCATATTTGGGAAGGTTGTTGTTGTGGTTGTGGCTTGGAAAATTATAACTAGAGAAGCGTGGATTCAGCATGCAGCCCTCATGATGAGTCCTGTATTGGCAGCGCTTTGAAGGAGTGTCCACAGCTGCATGGCAACAGGCAAACCCTCTCCTGCTTGATGACATGTTGATGATTGCAAATATTTACCATGGGTTGGATCTGGACTTTAATAATACTTAAATTAGATCGATTGAATCAATGTGACTTAGGTTTATTCTGGAATAACTGAAATCCTTTTGATTTTAGTGAGTCTAATTCTGCGGGTCTAATCTAGTTATGGTTAAGTTTGGATCTAACCCATTGATCACATAGCTGATTTTAATTAGAGAATGTCCTACATTTGGGACCTCAGTTGAGTCTGGATGGCCCAATAGGCTTCATTCCTGTAATGCTAACAGGGGCCACCTGTTATCATCACTTCTAACTACTTTCTCTTGCTCCAGAAAACTTGGGCAAAATACCCCTTTCGTCTTTAGAGATAAGGAGGTTACAGGAGGCACAATCTATTGCAGAACCAGAGAAGGGGTTAACAGAGAATGCTGAAGCCTTTGGTCCAGCTAATGGCCCACAAATGAGAAGGACTTGCGTTGTCTCATTGGTGTATCAGTGTACATGGTGATGCACAATATAAGCTCTAAGCTTTCACTCCAAGAAGCCCACAGTTTAAAGCACCCTTACCGAATGCAACACTTTCCAGAGGTGCTAGATCGCAGCATCCATAAGTCTCCAGCTAGCATGGCCATTAAAAGACAGCAAAATAAATACTATGCTTCCAGTATCTTTGTATCTTCAGGGCATGGTTGTATTAAATGAAAGCTGAGACTGTAGGAGCCCTTGCCCTTTGTCATCTCTGTGTTTGTTTTCCATGAGTCCTGGAGACAGGGTGGTCACCTAGAAAAAGAAACACAAAGAAGGGAGCAAAAGGGCAGCCAGGTTTGCATGCATTTTGCATGTCCTAACTTTGATTTCCAGATGCACATTTGGAAATCATTCTTATAACTAAACTAGAAGTGGTACATCTTGCCGTAATGGGGAAGGCTGCGACCAGGCGGTCTGCTTGCCTCCTGTGTCCAGCAGCTGTGGATGAGCAATTGTTCCCTTTCCCAATTTATCTTTAAATGTCAAGTGGGCTGGGCAGCCCTTCAAAGAGATGACTGCCCTGTGACAGCCCCTGAAGAGAGAACTGCCCTCACTAAAGTGGTACATACAAGGAGGGTGATGAGGTCAGTGCTGGCTCCAGGTTGTGGAGGGCCCTTGGGCACGACTGCAGTAGGCCTCAGTGGGCAGCCTCTCACAGGTGAGACCATCTTACTGGCACTGTGACCAGCTGCTCCTTCTCCACTTGCTCTTCCCTGCAACCCCTTGGTTGCCTGCCAGTAAAGAAGTCAGCGAGGTCTGAAGCTCCTTCTTCATGGCGTTTCTGTTGCCTGGCCAGATCAAGGGGAGAGCAAGCAAGCAGGCTGCGGTGGGGAAGAGAAGGAGCAGGTTCGGGGCCTCTTGTCAGTAGGCACCTGCTGGGGCAGGGCCCTCGGCTGGTTCCTGACAACACTGCCCTTGTTCCTTGCCCAGGATAAGGTGTGCCATTCTGTGTCCAGTAGCACGTTCATGTTTGCCACTGCAGGAACAGGCAGCCATAAACATAACTTTTATTTCCTGCATGCATATCCTACCTTTCCTCCAAATTGTTCCCCTCCACCTTCACCCATTTTTTTCCTCAGAGCAGTAGTGGATTTCATGACTTTTAGATGCTTCTGACTAACAATAAAAGTGACTTGGTAGGTAACAAGTAACACTGTAAAACTTGAATATATAGTAAAACCAGCAGGAAAAAATAAATATAATAACTCACAGGAACATCAGGCATTTTCACAGGCCTTAAACTCTAAAAATATCACACAATCATAGACTGCTAAAATTTTAAGGCTAACATTAAAGGGACAGGGAACATTAAAAAAAGTCCTTGCCTGGTGCTGGAGGGTGCAGATGCCAGCCAGACCCTTCTGGAGAGGGCATCTCCAGACAGGGCACCAGCCCTGAAAAGGCCCTCTCCTTCATAGGCCACCTTCTAACCTAGCTTTTCAGGTGATGTAGAGAAGGGCCATACCTGAGGAAGAGCTTAGGGGCCAGGTATGTGTATGTATGGAGGAAGCAATCTTCCTGGTGACCTGGCCCCAAACTGTTTAAAAGCAAAACATTGAATTGGGCCCAGGAGCAGACTGGCAGCCACCACAGGTGGGAAAGTACTGGCACAACTGTCGAGCTGATCTTCCTTCCCCATTTGGGGCAAACAGACATTTCTGGAACTATTTTCAAAAAGAGAGCTATTTTCAGCACATACAATGAACTGTAGTAGTCCAACTGAGTGGTTACCAGAGCATGGATAACTGCAACCAGGCTGTCTGTTGAGGTGGGAAACAAATGGGTGTACCAGGCTAACCTATGCAAAAGTGCTTCTAACCTCAGAGGTCACCTCTAGTGGCAATGCTGGATTCAGCAGCACATCCAAACAAAGAAGCCGATCCTTTAGGGCAGAGGTAGGGAACCTCTGGGAGGGAAAAGATCGTCTGTCCAGCCTCTGGGGACAGAGGCCTCCTGACATCCTTTGATTCCTGGATGACATGCTGGATGGATGATCCACTCTTGAGTGCTGGCCAGGACTGGGTTTTGCTGAGACTGGGGCTTCCCCTGATAGAGTCAGTGGCCAGAGGGCTGCTACAGCCACTGACTTGGCCAGGGATGCTTTGTGGTGCCAGGGATGCTGCACCTTCTCCAATGGGGAAAGGCACCATGTGGGTGAATCTTTTGCATTCAGGTCAGTGGCTGGAGGTCATGACTCATCCCCTGGAAGAATCCATGACTGGGGGACCCCATCCCTACTTTTGAGGGGTGTAACTCCTTCAAGAACAGGTGGAACACCATTCATCCAGCCAGATGAACCACCCTCTAACAGTTCTTCCGTTTTATCTGGACAGAGTCTCTGTTTATTAGCCTTCATGTAGCCCATTATCGGGTCCAGGCACTTTATTCTGAATGGACAATGCTAGGCTAAAGGGACAAGTTGTCTGATTTGGAATATGGTAGGTTCATGCGACACACTTAATCAAATAGGGCTTTTATTGAAATTAACCTGATGTTTATTTGATTCATTTTGCAATCCAAAAGCTGCTCTTCTATTATGTTAGGCATGGTTATAATTCTGTGCTTGCTTTATTTTCCACAGGTCTCCTTTTGAGAACAGCTACCTACTAACCTGAGAACTTTCTTGAGGCACCATGGATGACCCTCCAGAAAGCTGTGGTGACATTCCTGCAGACTATTACTTCCTCTGTAGCCTGTCAGACAAGTGGGGCATCGTTGTGGAATGCTTCGCCACCGCTGGGGTTGTTGTCACAGTCATCCTCCTGCTGGTCCTCCTTTCCTTGGTCTGTAAAGTCCAGGACAACACAAAACGAAGCCTGATCCCCATCCAGTTCCTCTTCCTTCTGGGCACTCTAGGAATCTTTGGCCTCACCTTCGCCTTCATCATCAGCCTCAACAGCGCCACTGCCCCCACCCGCTTTTTCCTTTTTGGGGTCCTCTTCGCCCTCTGCTTTGCGTGTCTCCTGGCCCATGCCTGTGACCTAGTCAGGCTGGTGAGGGGAAGATGCCCACTGAAAGGGTGGCTATTGGTGGTAATCGCTGTCAGCCTGACCATTGTGCAAGTGATTATAGCCATCCAGTATGTAGCCATCAATAAGGCTCAGCTAGGCACTCTGACAGGGAGAGATGGGCTGCCTGAAGGAAGTCGTAAGGACTTTGTCTTACTTCTCATCTACGTGCTTTTCCTGATGGCCCTCCTCTTTGTCGTTTCCCTGTTTGCTTTCTGCGGGTCGTACCGAAGGTGGAAAAGGCACGGGGTGCACACATGCCTCACTGCCTTGTTCTCCATAGGTATCTGGGTGGCCTGGATCACGATGCTGCTGAAAGGCAATGAACTTGTAGGGAAACAACCACAGTGGGACGATCCTGTTATCAGTATTGCCTTGGTGGCAAACGGATGGGTCTTCCTGAGCTTGTATGCGGTGCCTGAGCTCTGCTTCCTCACTGCTCCACAAAAGCCTGGGGACTATCCAGTAGAGAACAGTTTCTGCCAACCTAAAGTCATGAAGAAGACCTTCGGAGTAGAGAATCGCGCCTACGCTCAGGACAACACGCACAGTATGCTAAGTGCACAACATGGTCTGTGTCGGCGGGACTGGAAAGTGGGAGGGGGGAAGGAGTCTCTTGGAGAGCTGAAAAATCATTAAAATGATTGGAATGTTTCAAGCACTGAACTGAACAGGGCAGAAGAAGCTTAAAGCATTTCCCCCTGGCCACTCCCCATGCTCCAGTTTGGTGCTCAGGTGTATAAATGGAATGTCCATTAATGCACGACCCAAATGGTAATATATCTTTTTGATGTCATGAAAGAATTTCTAGATAATTTATACTTAAAAATTACTCAGAGCTATCATTTCTTAGAAGTAAAGTCCATCTTTAATATTTATTTAGAACAAAAATAGCAGCAAAATAAATCAGTGCATGCCACTCACAGTTCCTCATATTCTAATTCGTTTAGAACACTCTTGTTACTACCACCCTAGATGTATGTAAAACTCTGAAATGGGAGACTTAGATGCTCCCAATGGCTGGAGCAAACAAGGGGGTGGCAATCTTTGCTGCCACCATGCCTCTCCCTGTGCGTTTCCTCTTGGTGCAGTGTGAAGGAGGCTGGAGCGCCAGTAGGAATTGGTGTGGGGAGGTGCCCCAACCTCCTCCCCTCCCTGCCCTGGAAACTCCTTTCCCCCTCTTCAAGGTGCCTTTGCCTGGCTCTTTCCACATCAGCTGCAATGCGGGTGGACAGTGGCTTGGTCTTTGGAGTCCTAGCACTGGGAGCTGAGATTCCAGAAAATCCTATTCCCCTGCCCCAAAATTTGGGAGGCCCTCGGTCTGTGCCTTTATTTAATCAAGACATTTATATACTGCCCTTTATTAACAAAATCACAGGGCACTGTACAAAATGCATTAGAGCAAAAAGAAAATATATAGATAAAAAGATCAGCACATCTAATCTATCCAGCTAGGTATTAACATCAGCAAATACATGGGTATACTGATAATTTTTCAAGGAGCACCTAAACACTGATTTAGCCTACCTGATTAATCATATATCCTCACTGATTAATCAACTATAACTTTAATTGATGAACCTACCAGTTGAGGGTACAACTTTATTTAAAAGCAATTTCCTGCCAAAATTGATTTAAATTATTTGAGCACCCAGATCACATCGGAACGATACAGTTTTTGTCTTTTATTAGTGTACAAAGATAAATGTGTGGTTAATTCATATTCAGAGCATATACAGTGCTTTCATTTGCTTAAAAAGGTTATGCTCATTTGAAACCATTCATGGGCAAGGATAGCTATTATAGTACCTGGGCCCTGTTGCACAGCCCAATCCTACTAATATTTACTTGTGTATTTACTGGGGCTTATTCCCAGGTAAGGGTTCTTAAGAATTGCAATTTAGGACTGCAGCAGCTTCTGTGAGGCTGTGGGATTCTTCCCCGTTCAGAGCTTCTGCGTTCTCAGATCAGGGACGGATGCTGCAGGCCAAGCCCCCACACCGGCCACTCACAGCTGGTGCAGAAGAGCCATGACAGGTGTCCCTATCCCTGAGGTTGCAGCTGAGCCTCGGAGGGGGCAAAAATGGGCATGCTGGGAGAGGGAGGTGAGAAGGCTGGGACTGAGGGCTTACCCCCTGCAAATTAAAACGGGCCAACTCTATGACCAGGGATGGGTGAGGCTTCTGTTTTTTTTGGGGGGGGGGGAGAATTTGTTGGCTGTGCATTCAACTTCTGGGTGAGCACCCTCTTTCGTGCACATGACTGGCAGCCTTTCCTTGCTCTGCATGTGCTGTGGGAACAGGGGTGCTGTTCCCACAGGGGTGCTGTTCTCCTTACACAGCAGTGAGCTTTTGCAGACTTCCTCTTGGCTTGGCTTGCTTTCTAAGTGTGGGAGGGCTAAGGACGAGAAGTCTGATGGATGGAAGAGGGCTGGATTCCAGAGAGGAGTGTGGCAGCTCTTTCTATGGCCCAGAAAACCATGGACTGGTTCTATGCAAGGCTACCGAAACCATGCAAAGAGAGTGTAGGTAGCGACCATCTTCTTGCTACAGCCAGGTTTTCTGGAACTGACATGGAATCTGGTTTGCATATGGGGTGATATGGATGATACTAACATACTGTCTTTCCCTCTTTGCCTTTATTTTTTAGTTCCAGAAGAAAGTAGAGATCATCCATATGTTCCACATTTCCAGCTGAAGGTAAACTGTCTTTCATATACAGTGCTGGAGTGCTTCCTAGAATACATTTCTTTTCATGCACTAGCCCAGTGGTGTGTGGGTTTAAAATGCCTGGTTAATTAGCTATTACTTGTGCTCAAGTAATGGGGAGGTAGCACAAATATGCTCGTTACCTTCTGTAGCATACTTGAAAGATCAAATCTTTTTGGCTCAGATATAGTTCCATGAAAAGCTACCCATGTGACTGGTCCTCTTAAAAGAGAAGAAGAAAAACCCAGTGCTTACTACACAAAGGATCAGAAACCTCCTCAAGCTTTAGTGATGAATTCCTTACCATTAATATGCATTCTGTTTAACAAAGGATTTCCTCACACATTGCTTAGCAAATTATGCTGAAGTGACCCAAACACTGTGGATTTCATCCAGGTCTTTAGAGGCCTGGCCCACTGTTAATCTGTTACTATGGCTGTGGGGGTCACAGATTCCTCAGAGTCCCCATTACCCACAGAAAAGATAGTCCTGCTTACCAAAAAAAAAAAAAAAAAAAAAAAAAAAAAAAAAAAAAAAAAAGAGCTCACAACTGAAGTAATGGGTTGGCTTTCTCATATATGTCATTTAAAAATTTATCATTCCAATTCTTTCCTTTTTTTCCAGAACCTTGAGCCCCAACAGGATTTCTCTATCCCACGGCCTCAAACCCGGCCCAGCCCATACCAAGGATATTCAGGAGGGAAAGGTGTCAAGTAACAGCTCCACTATGTACACCAAAGAAGCAAAATGGAGTCAGTCGGGGGGCTGGAAGCCACTGCAGATATGCCAACGCTTCATCTTTACTAAATCAGGAGAGTAGCTCAGCAGTACAGCGGACGAAAGAAGATGGATTTCTTTTTCTCCTGCCTACTTTTTAAACTTTTCTCTGCACATGCCGCACTTTATATGTCTTCACTCCTCAGATTCCTTCACTTAAGGACTCTCCCCGGCCTTCCCTGATGATGTTCTCCCCTCACACAGTTATGACTGGGTGTTCCCTGCCATTGCACCCTTGCTGGTACTTTCCCCCTCCGCCATCCACATGTTGGGGGGAAAGTCTGTGACTGGGAGCTTGCTCTACAAATGTAGGTTCTGTGTGGGGTTGAAACCCTGATCATCAGGCCTGGGTGTGATTCATGTGGGTAAACTCTGTGTGTAGTGTCATGTCCTCACTTCAGACCTGTGTATATCAAGAACGCAGTGGAGGAGGTGGTCGGCACAAACTCACTCTCCTTCTCACGCAACTGTAATTGTATAAGGGGGTTATAACCAGATACTTTTAATGACTTCTCTCAGCTCCATTGAAGCTTCTTTACCTCAGCTATGTTTATTTTTGCTGACCATGGGTTGGCCTCAGGAATTGCCTTTCATTAATGGAAGGACTTTGCTCAAGGAAGGTGCCCTTATCCAGTTCCCAGGTCTCTACCTTTCCCCACACCATGGATCGCCCCATGACCCTGCCCATTCCATCCCAACCTTCTGTGCAACATTTTCTCTGCTGGAGGAGGGGTGGGAAATCTGTCTTTGCCAGCCCAGTTGCACAGACCTAAATCAGATCCAACCCAAAAGCTACCAGCATGAAGAAGACCTCCAACACCATCGTGCAGCTTGCTAAACAGAACAGGAGTAAAGAGCAGTGTGAACATGTTTGGCCCAGGCCACAACTCTGCATTTACTTGTTTTTCTGTTTCTGAATAACTGCAATTAGCAAGAGCAATCAAGAGGAGTTAATGTATAGATGTCCCCTCTGTGTTTGCCTAGCAGTTCTGACTAGAATCTGGAGCAGTTCTGAGCCAGCTTTTTATTTAACAAGCACATTCTGTCTGGTCGGGCAGCCATGAAAGATTCTGGTAGGCCTTCAGTGAAGCACTTGCTTGATGCTAGTGGTGTAATAAAGCTCTTTCTTCTCATTTCATTGAGTCCCTCACAATAAGTTCCTTCTGACTCCTACTAGTGCCTCTGCTTAATCTGATTAGATTATTTTATGTACTTACAACACTGTTTCCCTCAAATCCTACAAGTTTTCCTAGTTGCTGTTGTAGAAGTGGTCCAAGGCAACTTTTTGTTTTGCTTTGTTTAAAAGGAAGTCCTAATATTGTTAAATACAAAGCCTTCAAACTGTTTATTTTTAAAAAGGGGAGAAAATGAGGATGGGAGAAGGTTTGTGTTTGAAGTAAATTTAAGTGGCGCATTTCTTCAATGTTGAAATTGGTTTCTCAGTAGATGCATTGCCATCCCATCCCATCCCATCCCATCAGTAACTGCACAGAAACAAACAAGGTCTGTAGCAAGAGGAGTCCTTCAGTACTTTGCTCCCATTCCTTGACGTAATTTGAAGGGATTCCAGTGCCTTTTGTTCCATCATCCATTCATTGATGGGACTGGATTTTGTGCAAATAGGTTTCAGCTCCTGAAAATGTACAACTCCCTCCAAGTACATATGTTCATGCTTTAGCCTATGGAGTAAAATGTGAATTTTAGGGGTTTTAAAAAGATTTTTTCGATACCTAAAATTGTGTCAAATTATGGCAAATAGGAAACAAAAAGAAAAGTCTGCAGGGCTGTATGATTCAGGGAAAACCCATCTGCTACAGACTGTGCAGGTCAGACTTTTAGAAATTCAAGTATGTTTGAGTCTGTTCCTTATTTCCCTGATGTCCCCAGTCTCTTGTCTGGGAGCTGTGGTCCCAATATGCCCAGGGGCACCACACCTGGAAGACTGAGGTAGCGCAGGGAAGGGGAGGCAGGTTCAGGAGGGCGCAGGAGGGATACCATGGAAGCCACTGTGCTTGCAGTCCTGTGCTACTTACCTGGGAGTAAGTCTCACTGAACTTTATGAGACCTTGGAGGAGTCATTGTAACTGACTCTTTTGCCAGGGTCCCTTAAAAAGCATCTCAGGATAAAGCTTAGCTGGGGAAGAACACAGAGCAGCAATATAAAGATCACTAATGCTTCTTGCAGATTGGTTCAGAAATTAGGGAAAATAGGGACTTTCACAGTGAGCACAAGAAAAATAAAGTGTCATCCAATGAACCTTTGGCTCTTTTACATTCCATTGATTCTAATAGGTGATATAGGCATGTGTCTACATTTCTCCCACTGAAATAAAATGGAAATCCAAGTGCATAGTTGTAGCTGGATATTGCCCTTAAACCTGTGGGGCCTAAGGCTGTTTTGCTTATGTGCTTGTAAATGTATTAATGTATTTATTTGTTTATTTCTCATACTAAACTGAGTACACGCTCAGCATTTAATAAATGATTAATGTATGTGTTGATAATTTTTTCTTTTGTCACATACTCATCTCTGCTTACGTACAGAAAATCCATAATGAAGCATCATTACCTTATAATTTACTGAAGGGCTTGACCACACTTTCAGCTCTAAAATGTCCCACGGGCTAAGAACCATTTCAGACCTTCAGCCCTCTCTGTCCCAATGTCACAAGTGACACTGAGATGCTGATACACCTGCACAAGTATCTCTGTAACACCCTCAACACATTTCTAAGTGTTTGAGTGGTGTGTGTGCGCGCGTGTATAGATGTGTGTGTGCTTAGAAACCCTAGAAAATTATGCAGAGAAAATAGTGGGCTGAGTGGAGCTGGGGGAAGAGAGGCCTATGATGATCTATGAACAAACAGACACTGAAAACCATTAAGACTTTTCTTTCCACAAGAAACCCATGAAAGAGGAAGGACCGAAGAGCTATACACTGCCTTCCAGCTGGCAGAGCTAGGAACCGACTGTCTGGAAGGACCTGAATTTGCTGGGTGGGCTTACATGAAAAAGAGTGAGATGGGGGTGGGATGGGGTGGGGGGCAAGAAAATGTAGCGCTTGACCTGATAAGCCACATCTGGCAAGTCTGACATCCCGTTTCGACCCATGTCTCCTCCTGCCCCTGCTGCCTCTTCCCCATCCCCACTCCAGCTTGGGGTGAGCTACTGCATTCCTCTTTATCCTGGTTCCCTCCAGAGGTGCTGGACTGAGGCTCTCATCCCATCATGATGGAAGCTACAGTCCAACACTTCCAGAGGACACTAGATTCAGGAAAACTGGCCTATTGCACAAATATCCCCTAATTACAGAAGCAGGTGCACTGTCTGAATGCTTCCAAGCTTTGCATTCCCAATCTGTGGGATCCTTTAACCAGGATAGCTCTTTACAGTCTGAGGCCCCTGTGTTATCGATGGGTGGCTTGACGCAGTAAGTGCAGGGATTCCTGCTCCTGGTGGTGGTGGGAGTGCAGACCTTGGCACACCTGGATGAGAACTACAGCATCAGTCTAAAGCTATAGAGCTGGGCTTGCATCATCTAGCTGAGTCCCACTCTGGAGGCTTCTTGCCTATCTCTTCTGTCTGAGATGGCAGAATTGGAACATACATGGTACAATGTGTCAAAACAGTATTGGAAAAGCAAGCAAATTCCCCCTCTTCAGCTTTTCGCCTTCTCTACCAAGCCATCTCAACCACACTTTCCAACAGCTTCTCTTGTGCAGGGTTTCAAGGCTTACATCTGGAACAAGGGGTTGTTGCCCCTGGCATGAGCTGTACAGCTGGCGAGCCTGCAGGATCCTTTGCTAGTTCTGATCTTTCTTTCTGGTTTAGTTATCCCCTTGGCAAACATCTTGGGAGCCAAGCTTGTGGGACAGGCAGTGCAGGGGTGGCCCAATGAGCATTTGCCGGTGGATCCTTGGCTCACTCTCAGGACACATCAGGCATGCCCAGACCTGTTGTGTTGGTACGGCTGCTCCTTCAATATTCCATTATTTCCCCATCCACGTCTGTGACAGTGTTTCTGGTGCTTGTGGCTTTCGTGTGAAAAAGGATTTGTGTGCTCGACCTGGCAGTATCTGTTTTATTAGTTTGTTTATTTATTTATTTAAAGTTTTTATATGCCATCCAATACTAAAGTCTCTGGATGGCTTACAAAAAACAAACAAAAAATAAATAAAAAACCCACATACATAGGAACATAGAAACAGAGTGAGTCAGAAGAGGCCTCCCAGGCCATCTAGTCTTACCTCCAGCACCAGCCGGCTCCGCTCATGACATGCCCACCATGTGGACGTCCAACCTATCATTCAACACCCACACCAATGGGGCCTCAACAACCTCTCGTGGCAGCCCATTCCACACCCTTGGGGTCCTAACTGTCAGGAAATGCTTCCTGGCATCCAAATGGAACCTTGGCTCCCTGAGCTTTGCTCCTCTGGAACGCGTCCTGCCTTCCTCTGCAGGGGAGAACAGGTCTCTACCCATCTCCATGTGACATCCCCTCACATACCTGTATGTCGCCAACATATCCCCTCTGAGTCTCCTCTTCTCCAGGCTGAAGAGACCCAGTTCCGTCAGTCTCGCCTCATACCCCATCCCCTGCAAACCGGCCACCAACCTTGTGGCCCTACGCTGCACTGACTCTAACCTGGCTGTATCCTTTCTGTAATGAGGGGCCCAAAACTGAGCATAATACTCCAGTTGCGGGTGCACCAGAGTCGTGTAGAGTGGTAGTAAAACCTCTCTTGATCTAGAAGTCACACTTCTGGCTATGCAACCAAGGGTGGCGTTCGCCCTCTTGACCACTGCATCACACTGCTGACGCATGTTTAGCCTGCAGTCAACCAGTACCCTGAGGTCCCTTTCACAAGTGCTGCTCTCCAGCCACTTTTCACCTAACCTGTACTTATGACAGCTATTCCTGTGCCCCAAGTGCAAGACCTTGCACTTATCCACATTGAACGCCATCCTGTTGTCTCCTGCCCACTTCCATAGTCTGTCCAGATCCTTTTGGATCTGGAGTACCTGCTCCTCAGTTGTGGCCACTGCTCCAGTTTTAGTGTCATCTGCGAATTTGATCAGCAGACTGTTCACCCCTTCTTCCATGTCATTAATGAAAAGGTTAAACAGGATCGGCCCCAGGACAGAGCCCTGGGGGACCCCGCTTGTCACTGGCCGCCATCCCAATGATTCCCCGCTAATGGTTACCTTCTGCTTTTGGTCAGTCAACCATGCCCTAATCCACTGGACAACACACTGCATCCAATAAATAATGATAAAATCAAAGATAAAACCAATTAACTGTTGAAATATTGGGAAAATAAAAAGGTCTTTGCTTGACGCCAAAAAGAATAAAGTGAGGGCACCAGGTGAACTTCCCTGGGGAGTGTGTTTTGCAATGTCTGCCCCACCTTGTTGTTATCTTGTTGTTCCTCCCCGTGTATTTCTGCTCCTTTTGCTCCCTGCTCTTTCCTTTTCCAGGCTGATTGTCATGGGATTTTCCAGGCAGATTGTTATGGGATTTTCATAATCTCACTCCTGCTATACCACATCCTTCTCAGTGAGAACATTATCTGGATCAGACAAAGGATCCTTCTAGCCAGCATTCTATGCATCCAGCGGCCAAAGAGCTGCCTGTTCAAACTTCTTCTCGGTGAATTTTTTGCAGCTTTAACTATGTGCATATGGGTGCACATTCTCCAGGGCTGCTGGCTGGTCTCCAGAAAAATCAGAAGAATGGGGTGAGGCCCAGGAGGAGGTCTGGGAATGTGGGCCAGGCAGAGACACACTGAGATGAGAGCAGGGGAGCTGGAGCCGCTTATCTCAAGGCCAGACTCCCCAGGAGGGCAGGCAGTCTCTGGGAAGAAGCAAGATGTACAGTTGTCAGGAGGGGGCTTGGATCAGGGAAGTTTCCCAGATACCGACAAGGTGGTTCTTGACCTCATGATGTTTAGTTAGCAGGGGAGGGTGGCCCAATTAGAGGACTATTGCGCAGAGCGGAGGCATGCTCATTTTCAGAAGGCCCCTCCTGGAGGGGACCAGACCTACTCATAAAGAAAGGTGGATACTAGATTGTGTTCCACAAACCACTCTGTGCATGCTTAAAGATTTGTTTTGGGTGGTGTGTGTGTGTGTGTGTGTTTGCTTTTGGTCAATAAAGAACGCATTGCAAGGAAAAAGGTGTGTGGCTTTTGAATGTGCAAAGAAGGAACCCTGGCTTATGACACTTATGCATGCAGGGACCCTAAACAGAGAAAAAGAAAAGGTAGAGAAAAGAAACTGAAATGGTGCCCTGCCCTTCCATTTTTCTGCAATTGGAGCAGTGTTCTGAGGCTTGTATCAAGAACTGGCACAACAAAAAAATGACAGAGCACATGTGACATTTTAGCTACTGCTGCTTCTCCCCCAGCTGGAACCTACACATTTGTGTGTGGGACTCCATTATGCTATAAACATGGGAGCTACCAAGATTCATTAGCATGTGCTCCCAGAGCAACAATGGTGTTTTGACAAAATATTGGCATGGCGATGCCTCTCCCGCAAAATGCACTGTAGTGGAGATTCTTATCTTCTGACATTTCCTTTGAAGATAGTGAAAAACTCAAGATCACTGCCATTATCCAGCTAATGTATTTTCTCCAGGATTACAGAAACAAAGACTCACTTGCTGTATTGCCCCAAAGCTTTAGCCCCATTCAGGTTGCTGTAACAACAGTAGAGTTAAACCAACAAACCTAAATAGATTTACTAGGAAGGACATTTCTTTAAACAAGGCTAGATTAACTTGTGAGTAAATATGTTTAGCCAGCTAAGCCAGAGGTATGCATCCATAATCTGCTTGCAGTTCATAGTGCAAGAATGGCAACGGTACAGCTTGCTTTCTGTCCTTTAGCTACCTTTCGGGACAAAGCCTTGCATCTTTCCTCCTCCTCTTGCTTGCCTGCTTGCTTCCTCGTGTTTCCCCACATCTCCTTTGCAGGCACCCACTCGTCACCGACTGTTCTCCTCTGTTCCCACATAGAATGTTCTGAAGTCACCCTGCTTGCTTGCATCTCCCCTGCCCTGAAAGTCAACATGTTGCTATGCAGTGATCTAAAGTTTCAAAGGAAATGGGTGTTTGCTTTTCTTTTTACTATGGTGATTGCTGCATTATGTAATGAAAAATGCACCCTTCCCATTTTAAAAGCTCAGAAACATGACTGGTGAATAGGGCTTTTTGAATGGCCATCCCACCCAACCCTGTGGTTCTATCCAAACATTTGCCTGAATAATAGTAGTGCTAGAGCTGAGTCTTAAGAAGTCTTGCATATTTTCAGTTAACCTCTCAGACTCTTTGGATGTGGTCCAAGCTACCCCCCCCCCCCCGTCTCTAGTAGGGTAGAATTGTGACCCTTCCCTTGGATTATAAAATTCTTGTGGGAAACAAAAATAGCACCTGGGCACAAATGATGATGGGAAAATGTTGCATAACTGCAAAGCGTCACTATGACATGTGGGTG